TCCACTTGTCACTTTCTCTCTCACAAAATGGCAATCAACTTCAATGTGTTTAGTCCTTTCATGAAACACTGGATTAGAGGCAATATGTGCTGCAACTTAGTTGTCACAAAACAATTTAATGGGTTGACAAATTGTGATATTCATCTCCCGAAGAAGATGCTTCAACCAGACTAGCTCACAGGTAGCATGGGCCTTGCCCTATTTTCAGCTTCAGCACTACTCCTAGCAACTACATTCTGCTTCTTGCTCTTCCAAGTAACAAGATTTCCACACAAGAAAGTACAATAACCTATAGTAGACTTCCTGTCCATTGGAGACCTTGCCCAATCTGCACCTGAGTACCCTACCAAAGAAAGGAGATGCCAGGCCTAGTGATGGTAAGATAGATCAACTTGCCTACTAGTCTCTGATACCTTGTAGGGTCTTCTAATGGCTCCCCCTGACTATCAGTCATCTTCACATTGGGATCCATGGGAATTTCAACTGGCTTGGATCCTAACAACCCAGTTTTATCCAGCATATCTAAAACATACTTTCTTTGGGACAGAGAGATTCCCCACTTCGATCGAGCTACCTCAATTCCAAGAAAGTACTTCAAGGTTCCTAGATCTTTAGTTTGAAAGTTTTGCTGTAGGAACTATTTCAACTCATCAATTCCATGTGTATCATTGCCAGTGAGAACAATATCATCAACATACATTGCTAGAATGATCTTCCCAGATGACGAGTCTCTACTAAGCACAGAGTGATCAACATTGCATTGATTCAAGCCAAAATCTTGCACCACACTACAAAAATGACTGAACCATGCCCGTGGTGATTGTTTCAGCCCATAGATAGCCTTCTTCAATCAACACACCTTTCCTGACTCCCCTTGAAACCTAGAAGGCTTCTCCATATATACATCCTCTTGAAGATCACCATAGAGAAACGCATTTTTGACATCAAGCTGAAATAGGGGCCAACCATAGTGGGCAGCTAAAGAAATGAGCACTCGTACAGAACCTATTTTAGCCACAGGAGAGAAGGTTTCTAAATGGTCCACACCATAGGTCTAAGTATACCCCTTTGCAACAAGTCGATCTTTGAACCACTCAATACTGCCATCTTGACAGTGTTTAACTGTATATACCCATCGACAGCCAATGGCCTACTTCCCAGGTGGTAAGGAAGTGAGATCCCAAGTATTATTGGATTAAAGAGCATGAGATTCTTCATCCATCGCCTTCTTCCAGTTAGGAGATGAGTGGGCTTCCTGTAGAGAACACGGTAGAGAAATAGAGGATAGAAGGGAATGAAACGTTGATGTGAAGGAGACAAATGAGGAAAGGAAACATACCGAGAAAGGGGTGATCTATACAAGTACGCTTACCTTTACGAAGGGCAATAGGAAGATCAAGATCTGAGGATGGTGGATCTGTCAATGGCAAGGACTCTAGTGGCATGTCAGAATCTGGAGCTGGATCAACTATTGGCGACAATTCTGGTTGTCTATCATGTCTAGAGTACACTCTGCGAATAGATGGTTGAAAAGGCTCCTCCATAGTAGGCAAGGGAATAAAGACATCACCAGATTCAGAGGGAAGAGGAATAGAAGGAGAAGGTTCACGTCTAGAGAAATAGGGTAAACTCTCAAAGAAGGTAACATCTGAAACAACAAAAGCTTTCCGTAAAACAGGATCATAGCATTTGTAACCTTTTTGAGTACGAGGTTAACCAAGAAAAACACATCTAATAGCTCTGGAGTCAAGTTTATCATGGCCTAGACCCAATTTGTGAACAAAACACACACAACCAAACACACGAGGAGGAAGAGAGAAAGTCGAGGTGGAAGGAAACAAGATAGAGAAAGGTGACTCGCCATCTAGGACTGAAGAAGGCATACAATTTATGAGAAAACAAGAGGTGAGAATTGCATCACTCCAATAGATTTTAGGAACTGACATTTGAATCAACCAGGCCCGAGCAGTTTCAATCACATGGCGATTTTTTCTCTTAGCCAAACCATTTTGCTGAAGAGTGTGTGAACATGAGAACTGATGTACAATACCATGAGAGTCAAAATAAGACTGGAAATTATTATGAAAGTATTCCTTGGCATTATCTGAACGAAACACTTTAATGCATACACCAAACTGATTCCTTATCTCAGCACGAAAAGATAGAAAAATAGAGATCAACTCTAAACGATCCTTCATTAAGTAATTCCATGTCATTCTTGAATAGGACCCCAAACATCTGAGTGGACTAAAGCAAAAGGATTCAGGACTCTCTTATCATCCCTAGGAACAAAAGACACTCTATGATGTTTACTCAACTGACATGACTCACAATCTAGCTGAGTTACAGACTCCAAGGTTGGGACTTGCTTTTTCAAAACACGTAGGGAAGGATGACCAAGACAACAATGCCACTGATGTGATGTAAGAGAGGAATGAAGAGCCTTCTGAGGACCATGGTCATCCAAGTAGTATAGTCCTCCAACTTCACGACTACCACCAATCGTTTTCCCCATCTTGAGATCCTGAAAGACACAATATGAAGGATAAAATGTTACTGAACAATGACGGATTTGAGTAAGCTTACTTACAGACAAGAGACTAAAGGGAAACTTAGGAACATAAAAAACCGAGCATAAACTAAGGTCAAAACCAAGAGACACATTACCAGTACCGGTAATAGCAGAAGAAGAACCATCAGCTAAGATAACGGTTTGAGAGGTAGAAGGTGGTGACAATGATACAAACATATCTGAGGAGCCAGTCATGTGGTCTGAAGCTCCAGAATCAATTACCCAGGGTGAAGGTGAAGAACTAGAAGCAAGACAAGCAGTACCTGACTTCACAAGTGTAGTAGTGGCAGGACTAGAAGAAGCAGACTAGCAAAGCTTTTCATACTCCTCACGTAAGATAGAGATTGTGCCTTTATCCTTACCAACTTTGGAAGTAGGAGCATCTTCAGTCACACTAAGACTCCCAAAATCACCTTCCACCATTGCTTGGTTAGCCAAGGAAGATGGGGGCCATGAAGATCATAACAAAAGTTGACTGTGTGATCTTCTCGTCCACAACGTGAGCACTCCCAAAATCACCTTCACACTAAGACTCCCACTACCACTACAACCACCACCACCCCTTGCACCACCGAACTCTCTACCACCTCCTCGTGCACCTCTGGGCCCAAGTCCAAAACCCCTCACATTTCCTCCACCTCTACCACACATATGTCTACCAGGAAAACCTCCTCTAGAAACCACCATGGTTGATCTCTCTGAACGTGGGGGATGATCACTATGTGGATTTGAGGCTCTCCTTATGCGAGAGAAAACCTCAGACAATGATGGAAGATCACTACTCCCTAAGATTTGGGCTGGCATTGGTTCAAATTCAGACCTCAACTTAGATAAAAATCTTGCTACATCTAGATATTCTCGTTGTTCTTGTTGAGTCTTCAAATCAATGGATAGGGGTTGATGAACATTGAGCTCATTCCTTAAGCTTTTTAGAGAAGCATAATATTCTTCAACACTTTTATCCCCTTGTTGAAGAGAAAAATAGTCTTGGTACAATTTGTATATTCTTGTGACATTGTCTTGTCCAGAGTACAATTTCTTGGCATGGTCCCAAATCTCCTTGGTCGTGTCTAGAAACATAAGGTTTACACTAATGTGATTCTCCATACTATTCCAAAGTGATGTCATAATTTGGGCATTCTCTTGTACCCATTCATTGTACCCTTCTGATTCACTTTTCAATCGACCTTCCTTAATGTACTTCAACTTGCCTCTTGCAATGAAAGATACCTCAACCGACTTGGCCCATGGGATATAATTAGTAATATTGAGTTTCACCATAGTTAATTGGTAAGTCATGAAATCTGATTGCACAACTCCTGTAGGTTTAGTGGTACCATTTGATGAAACCATGAGTGAGAGGAGATCACTGATTTGTCACCTAGGCAAACTGTCAAACAGTTGGTATGCAACTACTGTAACACACCTTATTTTTTTAGGAAAAACACCAAGAATCATCAGCCCTCTACTTTAGAAACACTTGGTTGCATACTTACCACAAGGTGTCACCACAACAAAAACCACTATAAAATCACCACACATTGAGGAGAACCTACCTCACAACTCAAAACATCACAAAGCTGCTCTCTTCAAACTGCCAAATAGAGGGCTTTTAGAAAAACACCACCAACTCACACAACACTACAACTTGAGGCATTAAAGCCTCTTTTCCAAGTGGCAATCATTCTTCTTTAAGTCCTTTTCCTTTCCAACAAAGAATAGAGAGCACACTCCATTCCTAGCGCACAAAAAGTTGAGACGTGAACAGCACAATCAACCTCAAGGCTCTGATACCATTTTCCAACTTTAATAAAGTAAGAAAAGGTGAAGAAAAGGATAGAAGAAAGAAAGAGAAGAAGATAAGAAGAGAAAGGGAAGGGAAAGAGGAGAAAAGGAGAAGAAAAGAGGGAAGACTAGAAAGGAGAAATCTGTTCACTTCTCCTTACTGTCGACCCAGGTTGTATTAGCATTCTACTAAGGCTGAAATGACTATAATACCCTTAGGAAAGTTACAGCAGATATAAGAGAGAAAGAATAACATAAAAAGACAATAATGCCCCTTTTAACTACTTCTAACAATTCTAACATATACTTTAGGTAAAAAATAAGTACAATGACTAATATGCCCTTATAGGGCGACTAACACATAAAATTCCATAGAAAACTTAAAACATCACTCCAAAGAGTTCCAACAAGAGTTTTGTGGTCCCCACTTACTATCTAAACAAATAATAAATAAAAATAACTAACAAATCTGCACAAAATCCTCAACACCCTTTAACATCTTCATTTTCCTTCATTCGTAAGGTATTGTAATCTTGTCTCTTTGGAACATAAATAAGAGTAAAGAGTTAAAGTATGCATGAATAAGATGTCCTGTTTGATTAAGTCTTACAACTTCTGGTGATCATTCAAGGTGAACACTCACCATAGCATCAACCACCCAGAATTGGCTTCTTGCACTTTCAATAGCAGACTCGCTATTGCCCAGCATCCTTGCCATGGTATTACATGCTGTGTTAGCAACTCCTATTCCTGCACTGCATGATGAGGGTAAAACATGTCTCAAAACCTTACACTAAGACAGAAAGGACATTATTGAGATGGAAAGCTCTTCAAACATCTATATTCATTTTGTATGGACCACTAGGATAACTGAAATGTCTAGAGGTAGAAATAGTGTTGATTGTTATGCTTTTAATTCAAAATAAGACCAACAGAAGCTGTTAACAGTGGGAGCAGACATATTCCATAAACCAAGTGATCTGTGCATCAATACCACCATAGTATAGTTAAAGGATGAAGGAAGGAGGAAGAAAGACAATGAAGCACTAACATTCTGTACCACAACCATGATGCATGCTGGGAGACTTCTGTACTCTAATCTTACCTGTTCTCTAACAATCAGCTTCAAGCTGCTGGTCCTCTTTCCGGTGGATAAATGGGAGGTATTTTGTGCCTTTTGACTTTAATTAAAATCAATGAATGCTCTTGGTTTTCTTTCAAAACATGAAGTCTCCTTTTTTTATTCATTGGGATACACAACAGGGGTAGCCGTAGCCCATCCCCCATGCCCATGACCCCCCCCCCCCCCAACCCAGGTGAAAGTGGAAATTTGATCCCAAGTCTCCACTACAACCAGCTAAAGACCTTAGTAGCTGAGACAGTTGACACCTTCAACATGAAGCTAAATCTTAGTTTTTGTCTGTGTGATAGATTATTTAGTTGATCTATTAGAACCATTTGTACTTTCTATGAGTATAAATTTTGCTTGAGCCCACTGTATCATGTAGTTTATGCTTTACAGGACAACTTTCCATCATATTATTTTGTCTATTAACCTTAGTTTTATTAGCTTCTTTTGATGGTTAGGAACAAGATAATAATTTAAACAGATTACCTATGCTTCCTCTATCATTTCATAAAATATCATTATATTTTTTGGAGTATGTCACAATTTTTCCTCCATGTCTAATTTTTACAGTATTTCCATACAACATTTTCAACATGTTTCCTATATTTGGATGACTGATATTTTCACCGACAACAGCATCTTAACCTTTGGACACTTGGATTTGGTACATGCCAACATAACACTGATATAAAGTTTCACTTCAAGTATGGGGTTAGTATCAGACCTTCCAGCACCAGCAAGAACAATCTTTTGCTTTGGAAAGTCTATCATTGGTTTTCCTTGTGCTCTTACAGCGCCCAAAAGACCAGCTATTGCAACTCCTGCTGTTCCCTGTCATTAACTTATATTGAATCATGATGTTTAGCCAAGTATAAAATGATTATGACATCTTAATGTCTTTATCACACACTAGTCTTAAACTTGTGGATGACTTTAAGTACCTCTTGCTATATAAGATAATCTGAATACACATGCAATGAAATGCATAATCTTTACCTTGTTTTTATTGCACCAACTTCTGAAAAGTTAACCATGATTAAATAAAAGGAAATGTATTGATCAGAAAACACAATGTGTAATTTAATATTCAACCAAGGACAACTGCATCCCAACACTAAAACAACATTTTTTCAATTTAGGATTCACTTTCGTTTTTACTTCTAGGAGTTCATAGAGCTCAGTAATATTCCCTCAATATCTCGAGCCTGACTGAGCTCCACAGTATGAGAAGCTGAAAGTTTCAATAGGTTCCCTATCTATTTTTCTTCTGTTAACTGTATAACTTTTATTGAATTATAAAAGAACATTGTATGTACAACATGCCAAGCATCTTTATGCTTAGGATGTAACCAAATAACCTAATCCATTTCTGTTTGTATATTACAAAAGAGCCCAAAACGTTTCTATTGTGTTCACCCCTTGCCACGCCAATCTATCAGCCATGTTGTTTTTGATTGCTTTACCCTTTCCTGTGCCCATCCATGCAGAAGTGATTGTACTTCAGTTCTTAGTGAATCTCCATGCCCAGTCAGTCCCAACTATACTGCAAGTATGTTGCTGTTTTCATCTAAAGCACTTCCTATGTCCAAGGGTCCCGGGTTCCAAAGGCAGCAGCCATCAGAGTCTAGTTTTCTGTAACCATTTATAGGCAATTCCACTGCATATGAATCATCTTTTGCCTTGATGACTGAGCTACTATTTTCCATCTAAGTATGTTGTCCATTGAATATGATGCAAACTCCTTGGTCTTTATCCAATGGATTACTCTAACTGTTATACATTCAATGATTGATTGTTTTGCAAGCTACTTCCCATTAAAGATTCTTGCATTTCTCTCCTTCCAAGTTGTCTAAATAATCACCACCCCTGTGGATAACCACATTACCTTCCCATTCCTTCTTGGTGAGGTGAGAGGTGTCACGTTAAATCAGTGTTCTAAACCTTCATTGACCTAGACAGTCAAACCATTCAAACTGTACAGCATTTTACTAAAAAAATCAGAAAACAGTAGGAATGATGGCCGTGAAAACCAGTTCTCTACAATCTATGAGCTATGGAATCATTGCAGATTTGTTCACAAACAATTAGAAAAATGATAACCTTTCCTCGGAATCTGTAGATTAAAGAAAAAGATCAAACAGATATACTGGGTTCCACTGTGTATATCATACAGTGCCATTAAATACCACGATAACAGGTGTTTTACCTGCACATCATCATTAAACATTCGGTAGGTATGCCTATAGCGCTGCAGTAACTTGAAGGCCCACTTACTTTGGAAATCTTCAAACTGTCCATATCCATGTTATGTCAGTACTTCCTCATCCAGGTAAGCAGCATCATGTAAGAACCACTTTCAAATATTCAGAGCAGTAATTGATAATAGCCATGTATAAATAATCCAAATTACCTGTACAATCACATTTGGCCAACGAGTAAACACAGCCTCCATAAATTCATCAATAACGGAAAGATACTCCTCGCCATCAAGGCGGTGTTGTTGCAATCCCAGGTCTAATTAGAAAAAAAAAATTAATTACAAATTTGATGAAAGAAAGAGCATATAATATTGTTAAGCATAAATGTTGATTTAAATAGTTTTAAATAATCAACATGGAGTTCAGACTGTGTTGATCAGAGGAGAAACTAGATGACTAGTCCATTTATGTGGAACTAGAAAAGCACAAGGTTGATGTTAAAGAGAATTTAGGGAATAAGGTTGAGGAATAAGTGGAAAAAAAAGATGCTGAAGGTAGACATTAACTGAATGAATTCTAAAGGGGGATTTAAATATGATAATCAATAAAGAAATTCAAGTTGGAAAAAGGCTGGGCTTCTTCTTTCTAGGTGGTGAAATTTGCTAAAAAGTTTGAATTAGAAGGAAGAGATAAGAAAAAAGAGTTTCAATTTGTTCACAAGGATCCAAATGTTGGATGCCAAGAGTATGGCTCTTCTACTTTTGGTGGGAAACTGTAAGGGATTCTAGAGTTAAAAAAGAAAAAGAAAATGATCGGTCCAATTTTGTTGAAGTGAAGAATATGAATTTGGGGAGTTGTAGGGCAAGGAGAGTTGAAGATGTAAAAGGACAACATTGGATTAGGAGAGAAAGTATGGAGGTAAGGGAGCTATTGAGGTGGGGATCCAAAGATTCTTTATTAGTTTTCTTAAGGTAGTAGTGGTCTGCTTAGAGTTGAAATTGATGACCTGGAAGGTAAATTGTTAAGGGTGCAGTGAGGTGGAAATTTGAAGATTTTACTTGTTTGAGGACCGAAGCATTTATCAGAAATTTGGAAGATAGCCAATTCTGTTGGTTTATTTTAGTTGAATATTTGTTGGGTTTCTTTGTTTCTTTTCTTGTTTTAGTCTGGGCTATGTTGCAGATAGGTAGTATTTGAGTAAGATGAATGAATAACTGCTATTTCCATTTGAAGGTCCCATGGCATTTACTGATTTACACTTTGGTTGCATAATGAATCATTTTGGTGGGTTGTGAGTTTTTACAGTGAGATTTTCCTGTTTGTATGAGTAGGATGTTTCTTTTTTTATTGTATCTCTTCCTTCCAAGGAGATTTCTTATCATCTACCCTTGTATTCATTTTTATTTTTAATGATTTTTTTCCTTTATTATCTAAAAATGTTGATTTAAATAGTTTGAATATCCATTGTTTGGTAAGTTAAACTTGATCTAGATATAAGGAATTCTCATGCACAAGCTTGTATAAATTCTATATTTCTATTTACATATAAAATGCAAAATAAGTAAACAATTTCAGAGTATTTGTAAGAACTTTGAAAGTTGTGTCCTACACTTAATTAGGGACATAATAGTCTTTTTACACCAAGACTCAAAACATATAAATAAGGTGGTCGGCTGGGAGAGGATGATTTTTCTCTCCATCTGTTCTCTCTATTTTCTTCCTCTTCTCTTCCTCTCCTCTATTCTTTCTCTCTTGTTTCTGACCTAGAACTGAACCAGTGTTAACCAAACCATTAACAGAAAGGAAGGCCTAAAACTATAAATGAAATTAAGGAATTGACTAGGAAGTATCTTGAGAAATATTATTTGTACAGGCATCAAATAGTTTCTTCTATACTATTTTTGAGCCACCAACAGAGTAGCTTCTATAATACTTTTCGTTGAGGGTTCAGTTCCAAACAAAACACTTAACACATTAAAAATCAATTACTTTCTTGTTTGACAGCCAAATATGAGAACCACAACCCTTTAAGTAATAAGTACTCCATATAGGAAAGGAAAGCATTTATTTTTTTGAAAAGGTAAAAAAGAGAGTATTTATTGAGTAAATAATTTATTTAAAATTATTACAGTCTCTACTTACATATGGTATTTATATTATTTCAGACACACAGTAGGCAGAGTCCTTACATAGGGGATGTTTAAGAAGCATCTCATTGTTAGTTCCAACATCAATCATCACAGGAAGTACCTATTAAAGGAAAAAAGAAAAGGCTAAGAAATTCCATGGCTAGACACCTACTCACAAAATGAATTACAAAATGCGAATACCAACCATAATTAACAGAAAATATTGATTATGATTTATGACTTACTCTTTGTTCCTTATAAGAAGCCAGGAGTCTATAGCCAAGAGACAGCACAGGTAAAGAAAAACACAACTGAAACATAAGCATCAAGAACTTGATGATAATGAAATCCTCTGGGAATTGATGAACTCTTAACCTCTTTAGTGCTAGCACTGAAGTTATGAATTCAGGCCATGGTTACCATAAGAATTTACACTAAACATAGACTTAAGAGAAGAGTAATCCAAGCATCTATGTAAATTGTAAATGAAGGTCATCGTTGGGTGGTTTTAATTCTTGATAACTAGGGTTGCTTTGTTTGCAACAGGGCAGGTGGTTTTTGGGTTTGTTGTAGGTGATGTAAAGGTTTCTGGATTTGTTGGGACTATAAAAATGATTTTTAGGTTGGTTGGTTATGGTTCTTTTTCTTCTCTTCTTTTTTCATGTGGTGAATTAAGGTGATTCTTTTTTTTTTAATGGCCAGGTAAACTTGGGGTGAAGGTGGGATTTGATCCTAGGTCAGTAGGAACTACATCTACTAACTTTACCAGCTCCATCTGAGCCAGCAGCTGAGTTCTTTTTTGGTTTTGTGAGGCTTGGGATAGGGTATATTGGCCCACAGGTTGGTTCTTTTGCTCTTCATTGATCAAAAACTAAGTTTTCAAGAAAAACAGTGTAACATGAGATATCTGATGTAGAGTAGAGATCTGCAACTTATTTTTCATGAAATAGAATTTATGTATTGACACAGACATTATATCTCTATTCCCTGATATCAAAACTCCTCATAATAACTACTGCAAAACATCTCCCTATGTGGTATATTCATATGTTACATATTATATTGTATTTACTTTATTACACACTGTGTAAATCATGTATGTGGGTTTTTGGCAATTGGTACCCATACTCCAACCTGATTGTAAGCATTCAACTATGGTTTAAGTTTTTCCTGATTCATTATTCCATCCTAACAAAGTTGGAGAACACATGAAACCATCACCTGAAATAAGAAAGTGATAAAAATGACCTCATTCAGTTTCCCCCACCCTCACCCATCCCATTCTCTTTTCCTCTTTCTCCACTCCAAATGTAATGGCTTTTCAACCAAAATCAGTCATATCTAGGAATGTCAACAGATCAGATTTGGTAAGGAAGTGACTTAAACCAAACCTGACCAACCCAATTATTGAAATGCTACAATGTCAACGGGTTGTGTCTGGCATGGAGCAGACGCAACCCAAACATGAGCCAAACCCCGATTAAGGCTGACAATTAATGTGGGTTTACTACTTACCCAACCCATTGACATCACTCATCCAACAAAGAAGGTTGTATTCAGCTATCTTTTCTCACCAACAAGACAAGGCTAGAGCATTTTAAGGTGGAAAAGTGGATATGGGTTTGATGGAACTGCCCCATTAACTCTGCAGCACAGGGAACCCAGGACCTTGTAGAGTTGGAAGAGTTTTCAGAAAAGTGTTCTTAAAACCTTCCATCAGAGTAGTGGGTCAGTGGTTCAACTGTCCGGATCAAATGGTTCAAACTAATAATGGAAATGCCTAAAAATTAAAAGAAAAAAACAGCAAAGAATTAATATTTGACCCATGATCCACTAACCAGATCAAAAAGTTCAGTGGTTCAACCAGTCAGGTCACCAGGTCATTGACCAAGTGAATTGTTTTTCTTCAGGAAAATGGATCAGCAGTCAAACATACCCAGAGTTCTGGCCAGGTAACAGGTTGACCAATCCAATTGGCCCATTCAATCATAGGTTGAAAACACAGTTCAGAAATTGTGAAGGGAGCATCCTAGCTATATATTCTGGATCTATTGGATTGAGAGATTCAACCAGGGTAAAGTTGTCAGCAGTATTATGTCGTGTAAGGATTATAAAATTCCTTATATGGGTATTTTAATTGACAAGGATTCACATGTAATCATAAGCTCCTTAAAAGAAGTCAGGTTTGTTCATTAGAACATAGACATTTTTAGGGAGATCAAGAAGCTAGCCTTGGAGATGAGGACAAGATGTATATGAACATGAACAGCTAAAAGCATAGATGATGGTAATGGGCTTACAGAACAAGGGGTGAACAGAAACCAGATGTATTGGGGTTTAATTCCCCAAGGGGAGAGTTGTTAATGGAAAAAAGTAATGGTAGTTAACCAAGGCTAACCACTTAATTGGGGTGCATGGCACACAATATCTTTAAATCATTCCTTATGCAGATATTAATAAATTAATGTGTTATCAAAACACATAGCTGTGACAAAGGGAATGTACTGTAGAGGCAGTCCATGCACCAACAAACTCGTATATGTGAACCCTATGATCAGACAAAATATAGATATATCATGGATATCATGTTATTATATTTCCATTTTGGTAAAATGTCAGACTTATTTGCAGACAATTGATGGAATCTAAAACCCAATCAATATTGTTACAACATATATTACAAGCGCTGCAATCAAAGTTTTCAGAACCAAATCTACTAACCAAATGTGAATGATATGATAATTTTGTCATAATGTTTAAACATCTGACTTTTTCTATTGGATTTTTTTTTTATTTCACCAGAGTGAACATGGAGGATAAACATAATTGGATCACATTTTAATGAAAGAGGCTGTTTATTCTATTAGATCTTTATCAATGCCCAAGACTGATAAGCCCTTTGCAAGGAGACAACATTGCCCCAAGAAAATACATAAAATGTTTATTCCAACAAAAATATACTTCCACTTATCTCTTTAAAGGACCTTGGAGGTTCATGAAAACAAAATACTAAATGTTATATAGTACAACAGCAGAGGATTTGCATGGCCAAACCCAAATAGTTGGAATAAGGCTCCATTGAGTTGAAATAACATGAAATGTAAAAGCAATATAAATTACTAAAAGTGATTTTAGAATATAATCATATTAGCATTGAAGATTGTTTCAAGAATCAAATAAACCACCACCATGGTGCATGTTAGGACTTTTTAGAGAGTTGAAACCACCATTTGTAAGGTCCTGAATAAATACAAGGTAGGAATGGAGGTCTACCTTAGATAATTGAATTGTGAACTTGGGATAAATAATACAAAAACTAACAGGATGAAAGGTTGAAGACCAAGCACAGAGGCAATGCTAGTTTGAACAAAAGCAGTATGGATTTTAGTGGATTAATCATGGTAGCTCAGAGATGGCAATTGGGGTTGGGGAAGAAGACTTGTGAAACTTTTGTCATTTAAATATTCCATCAGATGGTTTCACGGATATTTAGTTCTGGAGCAAACAGATGTAAAGAATCAAAAAATCCTAGGAAATGACAATAATATAAAATATAGGATGTTGCAATAAGGTTAAAATATGGGGATATCCATACAAAATAAAATCCTATATATAATATAAAATGATATGTACTAATTGCAATCAAGGCAGAATAACAGCAACTAATCAGTGGCAAAGAGATGAACTGGCAAAAGAAGCATGCCAAGTGGGATGATCTTGGGCCGGGCCGGGCTTAGCACCTGTGATAAGAGCTAATGTCCAGGGCCAGGTCTGCATGGACCTGGGCCAGGCTTTGGGCCTAGGTCATTAAATAGTACAGATTAGATATTTATAATATTATATATACATCATATGATATATGTATAAATTCATCTTATACTTTATATAATATACAATAACACAGATATGTATGTATCTATACATAGAGTACATATATGACATATATTGTGGGCCAGGGCTGGGTCCGGGCCCAGCCTAGACAGAAAACCTAGGCCCAAGCCCTGAAACTTCCGTGATGGGCCAAGCCGGTTTTCTAGTCCAGGCTGGAAATGATCACCCCTAATGTCAAGTTTAAAGACAATGATACAGATATACAGTCAAACATGGAGACACATGATAATACATATAGATAGAGATGATGATAATGATGCAAATAATAATAATAATAATAACCATTTACCCTTTGTGGATTTATCCCAGCAGCAGCAACATATAAATCCAGCTTCCCAATTGCAATTCCAATGCCCTGAACACCAAGGTCTCCAAGGCCCAGTATTCTGCTTCCATCTGTTACCACTATCATATCAACCTACAATATAAAGTAATGTCAAAATTGACAAGTTGTTTTTTCCTCACTGAAAATGTGCAATTTTTTCACACTAATTCAAAAAATCCACAGCTGAAAGACCAAATATTAACTAGCAAGTTGTTTTGGGTAATAGATCGTAAATGGTTAATGCAGGAAGTGAAACTTTAGAGAAATCATGGAACAAGAAATTTTCAGATTTTAGGAAGAATAATGGAAAGTCGAGCCTGATTCAATGGCTCCTAAAAGGAACATTAGGAAGTATCTGGTGGATATAGGGATAGGTTTTAGTTCTCTAAAAATTTACTAGTTTTAGTAAAAATGAGCTTGCTATTTGTAGAGATATTGGGCCGGATGGGCCATAGTTCTTTTCTTTTATTTTTAGCACTATTTATATCTATCTTATGTCTATATTAGTGGGCCTTAGTTATGGGCCTGTTTTACTTTTCTTATTGTCTTTATTGAGCTAGCCGCCTACTAAGGGTATACATGTAATTGTATCCAAACTACAATTAGTTTCTAATAGAAGTGATTTGAGGGACTAGAGAAAGGTACAATTGCTCTCTTCTCTTCCTTCTTTTACTTTAGATTTCAGATTTATTGCAGTTGTGATTCTCAACTTGGTATCAAAATAAGTTTTTCACCAGCTTCAGTTTCTTCCTTTAGGCCCATACACAATGTGAATGGAGAATTGAGTGGCTGATTGATTGACCACTTAGATAGCCCAAATGGAGGGAGGCAGGTTTTTGGAGAAGAATTCAACTTTTGTTTGTGGCCCAAGACAGGTTCTTGGAGACTTTCCTGAAAACCCTAGCAAACTAGAGATTTTGGATTAAGGGGTCTAGAGACCATTTGAAGTTGGTATTTGGGGCTTAAAGATAAGTTTTTTGACTCTCTTTGAGATCGATCTAGGTTGGAGTGATTTCTGAAGCTCCTAGTTGGAGTTGTTGCATTTTCACTCTTTCTCCTAGGTTGTCAAGTTCTAAGAAAGCCTAGTTTTGGGTGATTAGGGATCAGTTTTGGCCTCAGGTCAGTAATTCTTTGTTAATAATGCCTTATTTTGATTTTAATTTGTTTCTGTTTGATCAATGGAGGAAGCTTCAGGTGAGACGAAACAACCTTCAAACACTAGATTTATCTCGAGAGGGTCTGTGGAGACTCTACTAGGAGTAGTAACCATAGCAAAACTTGATGGAACCAATTATCTAGCATGGTTTCAATCAATAAAAATCCATGTCTCTAGTAGAGGGAAATGGGGATACATCACAGGGAGTAAGAAGAAACCCAAGGAGGATGACCCTGCCTATGAGAGATGGATGCAAAAAAAAACTATATTGCAGTAGGCTGGTAAGTAAATTTCATGCAACCTCATATTAGCCAACACTATCTATGGATGGATACCGCAAAGGAGGTGTGGGGTAGTGTTACAAAGACCTATTCCCAAAAGTTGAATGTTGTTAGAGCTTGGGGTGAGCAAAAAAAACTGAAAAAACGAACTGAAACCAAACCGAAAAATCTGTTAACCGAACCAATCGGTTTGGTTTTGGTTCGACGTTTTCAAAAACCGACAGTTTCGGTTCGGTTTCGGTTAACCATTTAGAAAACCGGTGGTTAACCGAACCGACCGATATATATCTAATAATATATATTTATATAATATTATATTAATATTATATATTATATTTTATTTTATATTTGAAAATCTAATAAATGTCGTTGACAGCGAATGAGACGTTTCAGTTCGACAGTCTGAGAGTGTTCAGACTGTCGAACTGAGTCTGGCAGTGGCAGACTGGCAGCCAGACTAGAAGCTGAATAGCCAAAATTTTATATTTTTGGCTTTTCCCTTTCTTTCCCTCTCTCTCTCTCGAACTCTCACTCTCTGTCTCTCTCACTGTACTCAGTCTGGTCCTCTTCTCTTCCGATTCATTCAGGCGTTCAGCCAAAGCCAATCAATCCTCAGGCTTCAGCTAAGAATGGCACTCCCTTCATCCCTCTTTGCCTTTTCATTCTCTTCCTTTCTCTCTCCCACTCAGCACAATGCACTACCGCCGCATCAAGATCCGGCACACCGGGGATCTAATTCGTTCATCATGCATCCACGCCAGCTATCCAAACATCTGTCTCCACACGCTCTCCTCCAACACCGGCTCCACCAGGACTTCCAACGACCTCGCATGAGCGGCGTAACCATTAGTCTTTCCCGCACTCAGGCCACCTCTGGTTACATCGCCCGCCTCGCCAAGCTCCAGGACGGGAGCAAGAGGTGGCAAGGCGCACTGCGCGATTGTGTGGAGCAGCTGTCGGACTTAGTGGACAAGTTGCATGAGACGCTTGCGGAGCTCTGGCATCTTAGACGCGTATTATTCAGGACTCGCAATTCCCTTTCTTTTTTTAATTTTTAGGGCATAAAAAAACCGAAAAACCGAACCACGATTAACCGGTTGCATCGGTTCAGTTTTGGTTCGATTAAATGTAAAAACCGAATAAATCGATTTGGTCCAGAAAATCACCCCACGGTTCGATTAACCGAACCGTGAGCACCCCTAGTTAGAGCCTATAAACTAAAGAATGGTGTGAATAAATCTAAAACAAGGGGAGAAGCCCTTAACTACTTATTTTTCAATGCTGAAATCCCTTTGGCAGGAGATTAATCTAATGGAGACTGTAGGGATTCACAAAATATGCCAAGGCTCATAGGAAGTCAGTAGAGAGAAATCAGGTTTTTGAGTTTCTTATTGGACTCAACCCCAACTATTATATTGCCAGACAGAATATTCTAGCAAAGGATGAGGTGACCCTCTTTCAATCTTATGCAATGGTTAGTAGTGAGGAGAGTAGGAGGCAAGTTTAGGTTGTGGAACTCCTATTGATCATTTTGCTAATGCTGGAATTAAGCCAAAGGTTAGTACTGAAAAGAAAGATGTGTGTGAATATTATAAGAAGCCAAAGCACACTAAGGACAATTGTTGGAAGTTACATCTAGAGCTCATGCATACTAGATTCAAGAATGGTAATAGTGGCAGTTGCAAGAGTGTGGCAGGAAGAAAAGAAGAGGAAGAAAGGAGTTACAGGAGAAGAGGGTGTGTCATTGTTCATACCTCAAAAATTCCTTTTATATCAATAAGAGAAAATACATTTATGTCCCTATATGGGCGCCCAAATACAAATAGAAAGGAAAGACAAAATTGCCCCCATTCCAAATACATATTGGCTAAGCATAGATATCTATCATGCCCAACTTGCCTAGGTTCCTATCAAGCTTCAACTTGTGGAGACCCTTGGGTGAGACAATTAGTAAGTTGATCTTCCAACTTGACAAAGGGCACAAATATTTCTCCATTGGCTATCTATCAAGCGGCCCCTACCAATCATTCTCCCCTAGGTCAAATCCTAGAACACACGAGTCGGAAAACAAGGTCACAAAACAGTTTAAAGACTTAGTAATGCAACTAATAGATAGGAGATTAATAGGCATCTTTGGGACATGGTAAACATTAGACAAGTTTAGGCCAACTGGAAGAGAGACAACTCCTGGTCCAGCAATGGAAGAAGAAGAGCCATTAGCAAGTTTAACTTTATCCTTTCCATATAGAATACGACAAGAAGAGAAAATGGAAGACTTACCAGTCATATGGTTTGTGGCACTTGAATCAATGATCTAGGGAGACTGAGAGGGAAATGAGGAAACATGAAAGGCATTGGCTTCATTACCTGAACTTATTGCATACGAGGTAGAGGGTGTAATGGAAATGTAATCAGTCACAACATATTCTAGGAGAGAAGAGAAGGAAAGGAAGAAAGGAGCAGAAGAAGAGAAGAAATAGAAATGAGGGAAAAATGAATGGGATAGTCGTGGCTCCCACACACCCTAATATATTAATAAGAGTTGAGTTTGGGCCGATTTTAAGTTATTGGGCCAGATTTGTTTTATTTTTTATTTAAGTTATTAAGTTAGGAAGTTATTGGGCCCTAGACCCATTAGTTTATGTTATTTTAAGTTGTGACTATTCAGCTACTTAAACTCGCCAGCCTACTAAGGGTATTTTTGTAATGTTTCATTCTTTTATTTTAAGTATATAAATCAAGAGGGGTTGGCGGCCAGACCTATTCAATTCTGGTGACATCTCACTCTCTTTTCTTCTTCTCTCTTTCTCTCTTGCTGAAACCTTTCAGTTTTCTACTACTTTTCTTCACAAAGCATACATCAGAATTAGTTATCAGCAATTTCTACTTGGTATCAGAGCAGGCCGAAGGTTTCTTGAGCTGCTCTATCATGCAGCCCTAGATCAGCCGACTACATGGTGATATGAGAGGCTGATCAAAGACCTCAGGTAATCCTAGTTTTTGGATTTTTTGGTGTATATTTTTTGCCCTGTAGCTGGTTTAGGGTTTCCCATTAAATTCAAGAAGAACTAGAGAAAGGGGGAGAGTCTTGCTTTTGTAGGACTCTTCAATTTTCACTTAGGAAGTGGTGCCCTAATTTTTTAGGGTTCCTTGGAGTTTTCTAAAGGGAGCGATTCAAGTCCCACCTGTTTTGGAGGCCTCTGGAGGGAGTGGCTGCTTCTTCTATCTCTTCTCCCACTCCCACGAAAAAAGAATCTTTTGTGGGAGGATCACCTAGGGTTCCAGAAGAGGGTGTGTGGTGCCTGAAGGGAATTATTACCTTTTCTTCATCTCAAAGTGATTTTCTAACCCGTTTTTGGAAATAATGGAGGGTCACAGAGTTGAAAACAAATCAAGAACTGAAATGGGACAAGGGGGAGGAGGTGTCGGAGACCTTTTTGGGGCTGGGACCATCACTACAACTAAGTTAGATGGTACAAACTATTTAGAATGGTCACAATTTGCAAAGGTGGCCACTGATGCTCGTGGGAAGTTGGGGTATATCACTGGTGAGGAAGTAAAACCCAAGACTAACAGCCCCCGGTAGGTACAGGAAAATTATATGGTAATGACTTGGTTGTGCAATTCTATGCTGCCCCATATAAGTAAAAATTTTT